ACCCAGCCACTGTAAGACAGTATCAGTAATGCCGATCTCCGACAAACGAGATAGCAGTACAGAATGGCAAACAGTATCAAACAGGTAACTAGAGCGTGCGGTGTTAAGTGCTTTTTTATACTGTGATGTGAATTCTGAGTGGAGGGTCGCATGAACGACCCTAGACTAAACAACTTGTTACCGAATTTGACTCTGTTTGGCACACTAAGCTATAAATGGCTTCAGAAGAAATATTGGAATATTTCCAGGGAAATGGATGAAATGATGTTATGGGTTCCTTTTATTGTTCCAGTATGAACTGAAAAATAAACAGCTAACAGGTTTGGAACAAAATAAGGGCAAATAATGACAGAATTTTCCTTTTTGGAGACAGGTATTCCAATAAACCACTGTAAGAGTAATGGCACCTTGTATTAATTAATACACCATATTTAGACTCAAAATGTTACAACCTTATACACTTTATTAAAAAAGTTTTTTTCTTCATTTTGGTTCCTTGCCACTGTCACATTTGGCTTGCTTAGTTGAGGACACTTAATATCTGGCAATATTTGAAGAGAACTAAACTGTACTGGAAGATGACATCACTGAATCATCAATGAACTGACTTTAGCTGATAAACTGAGTGTTTTATATTGTCTTCTTGCATTATTGACAAACTATTTTCCCGTTTGACACTAAAGCTGCTTTGACACAATCAGTATTGTATAAAGCGCTATGGCAACTTGACTTTAACTATGAACAACAAATGTGTCATGGATGCCTGATAATATGACATATGACTTCTGTGGTTCCCATGATTTCACATTCATCTACTGGGAAATTAGTCAAAAAGGGAAGAATAACACTTGAAGTGGAGGGTGATTATGAGTTTTTGGTGTGAAGTAAACAGTCTGTTAGGTGTAAATTTGTGATTTTCCTATGGTTTTTAATAATGGGGTTTTTCCAATTCATGACTTAAAACAAGATCTGCGGCAAACTCAGGGTTTCTGCAGGTTTCAGGAAGGTAAACTTAAGACATTTTAAAGACAGAGAAAAGAAAATAGAAATAAATTGAAGGGAATACAATATGTCAGTACAGTGTCTATAAATGTAGATGCCTAGGGAACACAATGAGTTGTATTAGCAACACTTCAAAGATTAAAAACACAACTTCCATCAGATCTCTATACTGGGTTCACGACCACTAGAATATGGAAATAATCATAACTTTTACTGTACCTGCTCTTCTTCAGCACTTGTTCTTGTTTTCTAGAACAAATGCAAAATATTCTTAAATCAAGAGACATTTACTTAAGAAGAAATTCAAAATGGACTTAAAAAATCTACTAAATTCAAAGGAAAAATTAGGTTTTAATTTCCCACTGACAGGTATTTATCTGTAGGTAAATGTATCTTGATGTAAGGACATTTAGATATTTGTTTTGGAAATAACAAAGACTGAGAAAAATATAAGCTAGATTTAATGCCATGACTTTCTGCTCTGATTTAAGACCTCTTTAGGCTTGAATTTGTGGTCATCTGATGAAAGGTCTGTCTCAGTCGCTGGCTCTGGGAAACGGGCTTTTTCTTAAGAACTGACATTCACACTTCTTGTTTTGGTCAGAGTGGCTCAAGCAGACAAGCGCCACGGTCATATCACATACTGCAATCAAAGAAAATAGCAGGACTATATACAAATGTGTTGAAGTCAATGTGGCAACAGAAGAGCAGAACAGTTTTAAATCATCAAAATATGAATTCTGTCTTCGATCCTCACCCTCATGTCGTTCCAAGCTGCTATGACTTTTTCTTCTGTGGAACATAAAAGAAAATATTTAAAGAACGTTTCAGTAAAGATGCACATGCATTCTTTAGTAATAAAACTGAAAGAAGTTGCATTTGTGATGCTGATCTCCTAAACTGCACAGAGAGAGAGAGAGAGAGAGAGAGAGTGGTCTGACAGATTCATCTGATCTCATTAAAGTCTGTGTGCAGCGTGGAATTATGGGTTCTCTAGAAAACACAGGCTTTGATGAGCGATCACCGTGTTCTAGGTCAGTTACTAAAAGTGGTGGTCTCTTCGTTCTGTGCGTCAGAACAATCTAAAGTGAGCAGCTACTGGGTTCAGACCCCGATTAACTTATTCAACTTCTGTGGGACTTTTAATGAGTTCAGGAAAACAGACATTTCATCGACATAATGCTACTGAGAATTTCTCTGGTGTTTCTTAATTGATCTGTGCAATGCAGTTTAAACAGGATTACATGGAATTACCTTTTTCATGTAAATAACTCAAAACTTCCTAAAAGAGACTTTACTGGAACTTGATGCAAAAGGTGACATTGGGTCTGTCCTGATTCTCACAGAGAGTGGTCTGACAGATTCATCTGATCTCATTAAAGTCTGTGTGCAGCGTGGAATTATGGGTTCTCTAGAAAACACAGGCTTTGATGAGCGATCACCGTGTTCTAGGTCAGTTACTAAAAGTGGTGGTCTCTTCGTTCTGTGCGTCAGAACAATCTAAAGTGAGCAGCTACTGGGTTCAGACCCCGATTAACTTATTCAACTTCTGTGGGACTTTTAATGAGTTCAGGAAAACAGACATTTCATCGACATAATGCTACTGAGAATTTCTCTGGTGTTTCTTAATTGATCTGTGCAATGCAGTTTAAACAGGATTACATGGAATTACCTTTTTCATGTAAATAACTCAAAACTTCCTAAAAGAGACTTTACTGGAACTTGATGCAAAAGGTGACATTGGGTCTGTCCTGATTCTCACACTTGCGGTCTCTGCGCTTGGCCACTTACTTACGTGACGTATTTCCTGTATTTGGTCCATATTTTCAAGTGGACGTGAAAACCGCAAGGGTGTATGACTTTCAGTTATGCAACGGTGACACACTTACAACATAGTGGTGTAAAAATCTAAGTAGCACACGTTGTACATTTAATTCATTGTACTTTAAAATAAACTTCTAAACTATTGTTCAGTTGTCTCTATCTATGACACAATTTAATTGTGGTGCTTTTAATTAAGTGATAAACATTTTACAAAAGTGCACATACTCATCTCTGTATCAAAGTTCAACACTACACACATTATTTGCGATATCTAATTAAATTCCTCAACATCCCTGGTGAAAAAGAAATATACTAAAATGTACAGTATTTGAAATAAGTTTATTTCATGCTAAGTATACTACAAACACAAAATAAAAATACCCTGCAATTGTACTTTTGGTTTACTTAAAACCTGCTAAATTGGAACAACTAATTTTGTACTTAATGCACTTTAACTGTGTGGAAGTAGTGCTGAAGTCCAACTGAAGTATACAGGTGCATCTCAATAAATTAGAATGTCGTGGAAAAGTTCATTTATTTCAGTAATTCAACTCAAATTGTGAAACTCGTGTATTAAATAAATTCAATGCACACAGACTGAAGTAGTTTAAGTCTTTGGTTATTTTAATTGTGATGATTTTGGCTCACATTTAACAAAAACCCACCAATTAACTATCTCAACAAAAATAAATGAACTTTTCCATGACATTCTAATTTATTGAGATGCACCTGTCCTTGATTGAGCTAAAGTGGAACTATTGCAAGTACACTTCAGGTACACTTCAAATACCTTGCATTTCATATTATTCAAAGATCATACAATTCTCATCAATAGTGACATTAAAATACATTTAGGCTTAATATTAAGAAATGTGCATTGTGCACAAGCAGTACTCCAAATAAAGTTTATAATTTTATATCAGTGCGTTTGGAGTGATATGTCAATAAATATGTTAATAGATTTGAACTATACTTATGCAATAAATGTGTTTTAAATATATGACTTTGTTACTAGGGCGGTGAGTTCCTGCAGGTGATGAATGATGAATGATGGGATATGCTTAGGCTCTAAAGCAGTTTAGAGTGTGAATGTAGTGTGAATTAAGCACACAGAGTTTGCCATGTTCAGTCTTCTGCTCTTACCCTCCAGTGGCCCAAAAGCGCTGTGTGTGGTTATTATTGGGACAAACCCTTCCTGAATTCAGCACGGATGAAACTTCAGGTCAAACATCACAACTTTCAGAACTGTTTCAGTGAGTTGTTGTCTACAGAAAGTGTTTTTCAGAAAGACGTTTGGTCATCTGAACAGTATATTATAATCTGAGCTTCACTTTCATTCATTCATGCCACTCTCCGTCACTAATGTCTGTAGAGTTAATATATATATATAAAAAACCTTTTGTTTTGTTTTCTAAATAAAAAGTCCCAAAATGTTCACAACTTAAAAAAACAAGCAAAACATTACATAATGTAAATAAGTTGTCACAGAATAAGAATATGTGAATTATATAAATTTCTATACATTAATTCTCTTCTAATATGCTGATTTGCTGCTCAACAAACATTTCTGATTATTATCAATGTTGAAAACAGTTGTGCTGCACAATATTTTTGTGGAAACTGATACATTTTATTTTTCAGGATTCACAGATGAACAGAAAGTTCAGAAGAACAGCATTTATTTGAAATAGAAATCTTTTGTAACATTATAAATGTCTTTACTCTCACTTTTGATCAGTTTAATGCATCCTTGATGAATAAAATTATTAATTTCTTTCAAAAATATCTTACCGACCCAAAACCTTTGAACGACAGTGTACATGGTTTGATTTTTTTTGATTATCTAGAAATTGTACGACAGAGTCATTCTGATTCTTTTCATTCTGAAAAATATACATGGGAAGTGTTCCACAGAGACAGACAGGGCACAGAGGCTGTCCCATCATGCACATACACATGCTACACAGCTGCCAAAGCCACATAATACTGTCAGGAACGGGGCGGCTCTTAATGTGGCCTCGACACAACACCTCCACAACATTCAGTCAGACACGGCAGAACCGCAATCATGTTCAAATGGCACGTTATCATCTCAAAATAGAACATTTTGCTTCTCTTATCAACATAAAGGTTTGTTTTTGTAATACTTCATTAAAAAAAAAATCTATACACACACATATATATATATATATATATTTATAAATTTATAAGCAAGGCATATTGTGTTTACCACTTTATGGATAAACAGTACGATTGTCATATTTGTTTACATGGCTGGGTTCCTCTTTTTATAAAAAAATAAAAAAAACCGGACTGACATTAGAGGAACAACAAAATATTTCAAACAATATATCTATCATACTTTTAAAAAAACAACAGGTTTTCCTCAGGCTGGTGTGTGCTGGGAGTCTCCCACAGCTCCGTTTCCTTCCGGAAGTCCTTCATACTGAGAGAAGAGTCTGGAGTGTGATTGTGCTGGTCGGTGGAGGTCAGAGGTCAGAGGTCAGCTGTTAGGGACAGGAGGAGAGAGGAGGAGAAGACACAGAGGGAGAGGGAGAGCGGAGGCAGCGCGGCGGAGCTGATGGTGGACAGCTGGAGCTCGGAGCGGAGGAAGGCAGACAGAGGCACCTGGGACACCAGCGTCGGGCTGGCCGAGTTTAAGAGCGAGTCGATCTTCTCTGCCTCTTTACTGCAGGCTTCGATCTGCACAGGAGAGCACAGCACACGCTTCAGCTCGACTCGGCAGAAACAGGGCATTCAGTCCTTGCAGACAGCTTTAATATTTCTAGGCAAATGTGAGGAACATCTGGAGCGTATGATGCAACCGCATGAAAGACTCCTTCACATCTCCACTCACTGTTAGCCAGACGCTCTCCAGAGCACTAGTGCACACGATTCATAGAGAAATCATCCCGGCAACAGTGTATCAAAGCATGCTTTCACTAGGGTTGAGTGATACATCTTTACTGTATAGAATATCGGTCAACTTATTTATTACTTTTATATATTTAGTACATTTACTGTTATTAAATATGTAATTGCTCATGCTTTTTTCCAGCTATTTTGTCAGCTTCTAACATTGACTTAATCTCTAATCATTTAATAATGCTGTTTAATGTAAACCTCATTTAATTAAAATTAATCTGTTTTTCATACTGTACATTATAATGTTGTGATGCCTAAATTCACTTTTTAAAACGACCTATTTTATTGATTTATTTGAACTTGTTTAAATAATTTAATTATATATTCATTTAAAGAAGTTAATTAATTCTACATTTATTCTGTCAAAATACTAAGAATCAGTCATTTACTGGTTATCAGCCATAATCCTCACTATATTTTGTGTTTTTAATTTTAACGGCTTTATTAAATTAATATATAATTAAACTATAATTAAATTGTCAATTATTTCTAAATTTATTCTGTCAAAATACCAAGAATTAGCCTGGTTATTAGCCATAATATGAAAATAACATCCCTAATTTTCCCATTCGCAGTAAATGCAGCAGGTCCAGATGGAGATCAGAGAGTATGCAAAATGTACATTTGAGGTATTTTATGTTTTATCAATATCAATCCAATATTCCTGAATACGGACTGGTTTTCATACTGTAGAAGCTAGCTGTGAAGCTCCATTAGCACAAGCTCTCTTCATTTTAGAGTGATTGATAATTACTGCACTGTACTGTATGTTTGATGAAGACACACCTGCAGCGGCGTGGGCTGCTGATCGACAGGCACGATGAGGACGATGAGCTCAGAGTCGATGCTCAGATAACCGAAGATATCACACTGAGGAACAGAGATGTGCAGCCGCAAGATCTTCAGGATGTCATGAACCGTCACCGGCTGATTCCGGTTCAGCTGAAACACACACATACACACACACACAGATACACACACACACACACAAAGAAAAACAAGTAGATAGAAT